CTCTCTTCTAGTGGCCTTGAACAAGCTGCACAACCACACTGAGCTGTAATCTTAATATCTGTGTGGATCCTAAGAACTCCACCAGCCTCCTCGTATATACCGAAGGGAAGAAAGCATTCATGTGTGACAAAGCATGACAAAGCCATGTGTTGGATAACTGAGTTCTGATACCTTGGTTAGGGAATCGGTTTGGTTCTCATTCCTTCAAACTTGTTATCTAAGAGAACTATGAACTTAGTCCAGTGATAATGCAATTATTCAGAATGCTTCTGGAAATTTATCTTGTGGAATTGCCTACCAATCCTCATTTTTTTTTTGATTCTATGTAAGAATGGCAATGAAGTATGGAGGATTTCCGTCAGACCTGGTGTTCCAATTCTTTCTCTTTACTTGTTTTATGTCCTTGGAGAAGGAAGGTGGTTGATGTCTCAGATGAATCATTAATTGTCGAGTGAAAGGGGAAGAGGATAATTCCTATCCAGGAGGGTTGTTGCAAGGGAAAGTATCTTGCGCAGTTCCCAGCACTTAGTAAGGGCTTAATAAAGGGTAGTTTATTCCCTTTACTTTAAGGGTCTGGTCCAGTTTGAAAGCCACCCAGAGATCCTTCAGAAAGAAGTCTGATGAATATGTTGTTTACTAATTGGGGTCACATTTTAAGATTAAATATGCTGTTGCCCAGCTGGCATGGTTCCGTAGTTGAGTGTTGACCTATGAACCAGGGGGTCATGGTTCGATTCCCGGTCAGGTCACATGCCCGGGTTGTGGGCTCGATCCCCAATGGGGGACATGCAGGAGGCAACCAGTCAATGATTTTCTCTCATCATTGATGTTTCTATCTCTCTCTCCCTCTCCCTTCCTCTCTGAAATTAATAAAAATAAGGGGCGGGAGGGGGGATTAGATATGCTATGAAAGCAGTTACAGTGGGTAATTATTTCTCATGAGGATATAAATTTAATCAAACAAATGTAGAACCTTCCAAAGAACCTGAGAAAGCAGACACTTAGTTGGGTGAGCCAGTTCTGCCATCTTGGCTAAACCCATGTTAGTGTGAAATAATGAAGCATTTTTACTGCTCATATATAAACCATTTAAAATAGCTTAACTCTGCTCTCTATGATTACATTTTCAGACACTCCTTTTCATTAAAACGTTTCATGTCAGCTTTAATAGTGGCTTGTGTATTTCAGAATTGGTTTGAGGTAATAACACTTACTTGAGAGTGCATAGTTGATTGGGCTTGTAACACAGTTTGTGGGAACAGATTATAAAGTTGTCAGCCCTGTGTTTACAACATCATTAACACCTGCAAGGCATCTTTCTTTGGCTGTTATTTTCTTAGTCATGAAAAGAAAAAGGTTTTGTGTGTGTGTGTGTGTGTGTGTGTGTGTGTGTGTGTGTGTGTGTTTACTCGTGACTTTATTTAGAAAAAAGGTTTACATTTCCCTTTAATAATTTGGGAACTAGAAATAAATAACTAATTTAGGGTCCTACAGATACTTGGGAAAACAAAGTATTTGTTTAATCTCCTCTATAAAGTGTATTTGTCCAAAATCCATTATTTTTTTTCATGGTCTCTTTTTAAATTCTCTTATTGTATTATTTTAAGTAAGATTTCAGATTTGATCTTGAATTACACAAAGTTAACTATTCTTTGTGTGGATGGTTGTCTTCTAAATAAAACAGGTCTTTGCAAATGAAACTCTTAGAACCCTGTGCCTTTGCTACAAGGAAATTGAAGAAAATGAATTTGAAGAATGGAATAAAAAGTTCATGGCTGCCAGTGTGGCCTCAACCAACCGGGATGAAGCTCTGGATAAAGTGTATGAGGAGATTGAAAAAGACTTAATTGTGAGTTTTAACCTTAATAATTTTTCTCCTTGATATTCTAAACAAAATTGGAGATTTTAATTAAGTTTTGATTTCATTCTTGAAAGATAATTCTAACTTCAGCATTTGAAACTGGTACAATGAAATTAGGTCATTGGAGTGTGTTTTTTTGCCTCAGCAAGCAAAATACAAGTTGCCATTATGAGAAACAGAAAGCATTAAAACAGGTTCTATTCTGATTATTATATCACTTATTAAAATTATGATTTTTACACAGTAACAAGCCAGACTATACTTAGTACATAGTGAGAATTACTGAAATAATTTCTATTTTGCAAACTTTTGAAACAAGAAAAAAAATACCATTTGTAAGTTAAATTTTCAGAGTTAAACACTGCCTGTACAGTTTAGATTAATGGAAAATGTTCAGCAAATAGTAATGACCTTTAGCAAGAATTGACTTATGTCTGTTTAAAGTAACATATACATAATGAAAGTGTGTTTTTATTGTCCTTGATTTTGTTCTTGCATTGTTGACTTGGTCAATTACTTTAGGAAAAACTATTTTGGTTATTTTGGTTTGGGGTGTGAAACACAGCAACCCTCCCTGTTAATACCAGCCATCCACTCCAGTAGAGAACCGACTAGGGTACATAATTAGCCCTGCTTCTCTATGTAGGTTGGCAAATTGTTATTACAGAACATATTGCTTATTGGCTAATTCATTGTTGTTGTTGTTCTTAATGTTCATTGCAGCTATTGGGAGCTACAGCTATTGAAGACAAGCTACAGGACGGAGTCCCAGAAACCATTTCAAAACTTGCAAAAGCAGACATTAAGATCTGGGTGCTTACTGGAGACAAAAAGGGTAATTCATTAGTCTGTTTACTCGCAAATGTTCAGAGTTCCTGTTTCTGTGCCCGAGATGACCTTCTCAGACTTTCCATCCTGCGCAAACACTGGCCTTTCTTTGGGACATGAACACTTTCCCTAAGAAACCTTTCTCTGCTATCCCAGCCCACCCTGTGTCCTTCCCCATACTCCCTCTTTATTCCTTGTACTTGAGCTCCTGATTGAATCTTGCTGATTGTGGTCAGTCTTATCTCTCCAGCCAGACATGCCTTGCTGTCCTGAGGGGCCGTCCTTCGTGTCCCTCCTGTCCGTCCCAGCACTGCCATTTGTTGGCATCGGTTAGAATAACAAACAGTGACCAACTATTATTTTCTTGCTTGTTTTATTGCTTGAAAATAAATTATAATTAAAATTTCATACACAAGGGAAGATTTTAAATTTAGAAATGAACAGAGTTGGTTGGGGTTGATACTTTAACCCCCAGCATTCCACGGGAAACCAGATAATTTCTCTTGCTTTGATTTATATCAGCAGTGGGTCCCACACTCTGCTAGGCTCCGGGAAGCACAGTCCCAACCTTAAAAAAATACCAATGGATGGTAATACAAAAGGGGGAAAGTCTTCAATAGGAGGCTTGTATGAATGAAGGTTGATGGAACTGGTTATCTCCTCACCCCCCATAGCAGAATGATTAAACCACATGAACTGAATGTCTTTAGGATTTCAGTGAACAGTGATTTATTAAATAATCAGTTAATAAATGTATTTGATGCTATAGCACATTTTATTATTGAAAAGATTTCAAACCAGACTGAGTTACACTTACTTTATTACAGATAGAGGGATTTTTTAAACTGTGATTTCTATACATTGTTATGGAAAAACAGCATAGTTGATTGAATCTGCCTATTTTATTAATTGAAAAAAATCATTATTACTAGATAAAGTTGATTATTAAGTTCATCGGTAGGAATGACATCTGACTTCATTTTTTTCTGCTGTAGAAACTGCTGAAAATATAGGATTTGCCTGTGAACTTCTTACTGAAGAAACTACTATCTGCTATGGAGAAGATATAAAGTAAGTAACAAGCCTACAGGATGAAAATAATGTCTCGTTTTTATAAACACAAGACTAGGTGTAGAAGACACAGATACGGAGATGGGAGCTAGGTTGTCACTTCAGGCAGCTTCCACTATTTACATGAAGCAAAAGAACAACAGGCAGCTCCGCGTTACCACGGTTCTACCACAGGGCCTTATGTTGTAGTGAAACTTGGGGCCTTTATTTGCGTTCCAGGGGCCATCGTTCCCCATTCCTTAGAAGTCCTCGGGACTTGTCTGCTGATACAAATTAACGTGAATTATATCCATGTATTGTCTTTTCTAGGAATTGTACCTTTCCGAGGGAAAATAGAAGAAAGCCCCCACAATCCTGCCTGGAGGGAAATTTTTGGGTTGGTTACATCTGTAGTCTTGTCTAGTTGAGCAGGCCTGATAGTTCAAAGTTGAAGTATCTCATTGGCCCTAAATAAGAGTGCAGCGGACCGGGAAATGTATAAGGAAAAATCCCTGACTTGTTATGAAGCTACACATGTGCTGTACACAGTTACCAGGATGTGTTTGCCTCTGGCTTGAGAGTTGGTTCCTTTTATTCCTCAAGACTTTTCCTTACGATGCCTCAAGGCCAATTAACTAAGCTCTTAACATACAGCCTAGTCTGTTAAGATGATGAGGGAGTTGATGGTTGTCATTAGTCTTCCTTCTAATGATGATGATAGAGTTTCTGAGTTCTTTCAGTGTATTAGGCACACTGCTAAATTAGACAAACAAAACCGGTAGCCTTATAATCTTAAGTAGATCAGTTCTGTTTGAATAGAGATATATAAATCATGCCTCTTTGTGCTTTTAGGTCTTGAAAAATAGCAATGGACAAATAAATACTAATATGTTGACTTAAGTAGTTTCTTGGTTTCAAGTAATCTGACTAAATTACTATATGGTTTTGTTTATTTCTTATAGATAGGAGACTTAATATATTTCTGTTCTCTTTTTTAAAAGTGTTGAAAGTTGGGCTCTGAGCTAAATTAGAAGATAAAGTGAATGCAAGTAGCAGATTTTATGATCATGTTCTTAGCTCAATTTACCTTTACGGAAATGAATCATCTTTCTAGAATCTAGATGCACCATCCTATAGAATAGTTTGAATGGGTAACTTCATATTTTTGTCTTCCAGCCTTTTAGGGGTCACTCCTTATTTCAACTTGAAAATAAAAATTAAATTAATGTGGAAAATGGATAGATAACTAATCCCCTAGTGCAATGGTTCTCAGTGGGAGGCAAGTTTGGAACATCTGGCAATGTCTGGAGTCAGGTTATCACAATGGGGTGCTCGAAACATCCTACAGTCCAGTGAATAGCCACATTCAACGAAGAATGATCTGGCCTGAGACTGCACTAGTGTCGAGGCTGAGAAAGCTGTTCTTGAAGGTGAAAAGTAATGGCTCAGTGTGTGTAATGAGGAAAGCCCGGGGCTCAGTTAGGAGACCCGGGTCTTCATTCCTGTTTTCCCGTCAACCTGCTGCAGGCAAATCATATCATCTCTGCCAGGCTTCATTTTCTTATTTGTAACATGAAGAGATTGGATAAGAAAATTACAGTCTCTCCCACTCCAAAATCCTGTGCTCATTTTGCTATCACATGAATGTGCTATCTGTGGTCTTCTCAATCATGTGTTGCTAGAAAGCACTGAGCATTTCTCTAAACCAGACTTTATGTGGAAATCAGTTTCTTTCTGCCAAACAGCCCTCATTCATAATACAGTAGGTTTCACCCCAGTATTATAATTCAGATTAAGATTGTCTTCCTTCTGTGTTTTTGTGAATACATTTTCAATTGTATCTTTCTTGTGCTGTTTTTGGCAAATAATGAAGCACCAAGAACATGGTGCCCCCATAGTGGAGGGATTAAAACTTAGTTAGGTTGTATATCACTCATTAAAAAATGGGCAAAGGACTTGAATAGACATTTCTCCAAAGAGGATATAAAGATGGCCAACAAGCATATGAAATATGTTCAACATCACTAATCATGAGGGAAATACAAATTAAAAGTACAATAAGATATCAATTCACACCATTAGGATAGCTATTATATATATTGAGTGTGGGCAAGGATATGGAGCAATTGGGACTCTTTGTTCACTGCTGGTAGGAATGTAAAATGGTGCAGTCACTATGGAAATGGTAGGATGGTTCCTCAAAAAAATTAAAAATGAAGTTACCATATGATCCAGCAATTCCACTTCTGGGTATTATCCCAAAGAACTAAAAGCAGGGACTCAAAGAGAATATTTGCACACCCATAATTATAGCAGCACTATTTGCAATTGCCAAGAGTCGAAGCAAGCCAAATGTCCATCAATGTATGAATGGATACACAAAATGTTGTTCACCCTTAAAAAAGAAAGGAAATTCTGACAAATGCTACAACATAGATGAACCTTGAGGACATTATGTTAAGTGAAATAAGCCAGTCACAAAATGAGAAATACTGTATGATTTCATTTATATGAGTTATCTAGAGTGCTCAAATTTATAGAAACAGAAAGTAGAGTGGTGAGTAGCAGGGGTTGGGGGAAGGAGGATTGGGGAGTTGTTTAATGGGTATAGAGTTTCAGTTTTGAGAGATGAAAAATTCTGGATATTGGTTCTACAACAATGTGAATATACTTAACACTGTTGAACTGTACACTTTGAAATAGTTAATGATAAATTTTATGTTATGTTTTTTTACCAAAATGTTAAAAAGAGATTATATTAGTATGCCAAAATTATCTCACACTGAAGGGCCTGTTTCCAGCCTTGTACTTTAAACACTTAAATTTCTTTCCCCCAGTGCTCTTCTTAACACAAGAATAGAAAACCAGAGGAATAAAGGTGGAGTATATGCAAAATTTGTACCCCAGGTGCAGGAACCTTTTTTTCCACCCGGCGGAAACCGTGCCTTGATAATCACTGGCTCTTGGTTGGTACGTATATCATTAGGGTGTCTGTGCCTTTGGCTCAAACTAAAGCAGTTGATTATGGACCAATTTTAGGTGGTTTGCCATATTAACTACCAACCCATAAATCTTTTAGCCAATAAATGAAAATGCAGTTTCCCAAGTTTGAAACTTAATGTTCTATGGTACATGAAAGGAATTACAGCAAACTGGTAATCGTGGTTATACCTGATTTATCAAACAATGGTTATGGTTATTTTAAATTTTCTTCTTTGTACATTTTTCTATTTCCTAATTTTTTATAGTAAATTTTTAATAAATAGAACAATGTAATCAATGATATAAGCCAAGAATTATCCTTTCCCATCATCAAAACCTTAGGAAATGGGACTCTCTTTTTTTTTTGGTAAGAATAGTTTATTGATTTTTAGAGAGAGTGGGAGAGAGAGAAACATCCATGTGAGAGAGAACCATCGATTGGCTACCTCCTGCATGCCCCTTAACAGGGACCAAGCCTGCAACCCAGGCATGTACCCTGACCGGAATCAAATCGGCAACCTTTTGGTGCATGGGATAATGCCCAAACAACTGAGCTACCTGGCCAGGGCAGGAAATGGGACTCTTGATTTAAAAACTAAAATGGTAGTAATTCTTTCCCTTTGTGATTTCACAGAATGAAATTCTTCTAGAGAAAAAGACCAAGACAAGTAAGATTCTGAAGCTGAAGTTCCCAAGGACAGAAGAAGAAAGACGAATGCGGACCCAAAGCAAAAGGAGGCTGGAAGCCAAAAAAGAACAGAGGCAGAAGAACTTTGTTGACCTGGCCTGCGAGTGCAGTGCGGTCATCTGCTGCCGGGTCACCCCCAAGCAGAAGGCCATGGTGGTGGACCTGGTGAAGAGGTACAAGAAAGCCATCACCTTAGCGATTGGAGACGGAGCCAATGATGTAAACATGATCAAAAGTGAGTCTTGCACAGACAGCCAACGCAACCCGAATTACTAAATTGGTGGCAGGAACAGATTTGAGGGTAGTTTTTTCCAATCTTATTGCTCGGGCTTTCCTAAAGCAGATATTTAATAAAGGCGCCCTAACCAGGATGGCTACACCTGTGACCCTGCTCTCAGGTAGTTGACAGCCCATCGAGTAGGAGAGAGCAGGCATGACAATGCTTCTTGCAGGATGCCAAATAGAGGACAAGTTCCATATGGGTGAATTTATCCTTGTTTCCTTTTATGTGTTTGGATTTTTTTTCCTCTCCTTCAACTTCTCCCATGTTTCTTTGGGGCATACTAAAAGTCCTGCTATTTAGTCAGTTTTGTTAAAAATTCTGTTAAGCGTGGTATACATTGTTGAACTCTTTCTGGTATTTATTTTGAGATTATTCTCCCTCCCCTAAGCTTTCTTCTTACCTTTGATAAATCTGTTAGAACTTCACCATTGGGAGACCTGCAGTGAGCTCAGAGTAACACATTTGGCATCGAAGCAAAGCTCCAAAATGGTCTCACTGGCTTCTTGACCTCCCTGAAAGATTGCCAAGGGCCCTCCTGCTGTTGGAGGACCCTTGGTTCCCACAAATTAAAGGATTCATACAGAGAAACACAGTTGTGTGGGTATTAGAGGATGTGGAACCAAACCTCATCAACATGTCTGAATCCTGGTCCTTTTTCCCCTCCCTATATTACTTCAGGGTGATCTTGTAATGAAAATACCCAAACTAGGGAGACTTGAATACTTCTCATCCTACTGCCAACATGCTCATCTGAAAACAAGAAAATTATCTCTAATGTCACCTCCAGCTTTGTGATGTTATTAGGATGAGCGATTATATGACTACACTAGAGGCCTGTTGCACGAAATTCGTGCAAGAGTAGGCCTTCCTTCCCCCAGCTGCCGGCACCATCTTCCCTCTGGCTCCTGGGACCTCGGCTTTCCTCCAGCTGCTGGCAGGCACCCGGGACCCAGGCTTCCCTTGCAGCCCCGGCTTCATCCAGAAAGACGTCCAGTCTAATTAGCATATTACATTTTTATTATTACAGATGTGTATATGCACATTCTGCTGTGCTGGGTATCTTAATGCATTATGTATAACTAGATTTTATATTCAGCCTGTGTTGTGACTCATGAATCTGTCTTTCTTTTCTTAGAGTCTCTTCTCCTCCTTGACATATACTGAGTATTCCAACTTTATCTTCTTCAACAGGAGTCAGCTGTATGATGTACGTCTTCTTGCTTTTTTATTATGTGTCTGTCACCACTACCAGTTTAAGTCCTCTGTACTGTGTTTTGCATGTGCTTGTGCTACCATGCAAATGGCATTTCTTCCTCTGAATTAGATCTATCTCCTCTGCACCTAGCTCTTTCTCTTCCATTATATATCAGTAACTCAACTAGCTGTGCCAAAAAGAGCAAGAAACTCAAACATGATTTGTATTCAGTTATACTGTAGACTCCTAGATGTTTGGGGAGGCGGGAAGGGTTACCTTACAGATTTACCCTCTGGTTTACGATTTAGACTTGAAAATGTTTTGTTTCTCTGAGTTCACCAACTGATAGCAAAGGGATCACAGAAGTCAACATAGATCTTATAGAGACTTGTTTTTCTTAAGTTGTCTTACCAATTTTATTAAGCTGTTATATGGCAGGTGCTTTTATATATAACCTATGGAGCATCCATTTGCAACAAAAATCAAGGAAACTCTGAGGTCTCCTTGGAAGTCAGTAGCTTTATCCAAGTATTTTAGTGCCTTTTTGTACTTTTCAGAAAACTAATTTCTTTCAACTGCATCAAGAACAATACACAGTGGTGAGGGGGATATTTGTTGTTTATAAAAAAAGTAGAGTGAAATTTAAGTGTCAGAAAAAATTTGACCATAGGCTAACAGGTTTCATGTTTAGCAGTAAGTGCAGTAGAAGCAGAGGAAATTGCAATCCACCATGTTTCTTCCCCTAGCAAGGATCCCAGGACTCTCATATGCTGCCCTCTCCTCTTGTGCCTAAAGATGTCTACTGACTGGTGGGTGGTTTTTCTTGGTCTAAGACCCTGAGAATGAACAAGCTTGAGGAAATGATCTGTTTGTTAAGGAATTATGGAGTCTTTTGAAGAGGCATTTAAAACCATATTTGGAACTTCAGAAAAATCTATATTTAGATTTTAGTGGGAAAGCCAGTGTGGCCTTATGAAGTGCATCTGTTCAGTTGCCTTGAATCACCCTGTGAATCATTTCACGCACTGTCCTTGGTCTGCTCAGAAGATAAAGTTTGGCAGGCGTTCCTCGGCCTCAGCTCCAGCATAATCTCAACATTTCCCTCTGTGGCTTGTTCAGGAAAGAAAGCTGTGGTTGGATAGGAAAGAGTAGTTGGTAATCACGATCAGTCAAGTGAACTATTTGCATGCGTTGAAAGAGGTCATAAATATTGAATGAGATGCAATTTATTCTATTTTTTAGAATTGCATAATATTGTTGAAAACCTTGGTTTGCACAAATGACTCCATTTTGAATTTGCCAGACCTTGTGTTCTGCAAATGGGGAAAGATTCTTTTGGAGCTTCTTTTAGTTGGAAACCCTGCTGGGTTGGCAATCACTTCTCAGGGTCTGAGTAATAGGTTGTGTTCTCCAAACACATGTTCTCTTGAATGATCTCACTGTCTGTCTTTCCTCTCATGACTTCTGAGACCTAGAAAAAATGTGTAATTCTCTACATTGAATACACAATTTAAAGACTATTGGAATGATGGATAAAATTGTGACTCGTTTTTCATCTATTCCAGAATCCTTCCCCACTACATTTAAAAAAAAAAAAAAGAGTGTCTTACGGTAATGATAGGCTATAAATAAGTTTTTGAAAGTTTAATAGTAAGTTAGTTAAAACTCTTTTGATTACTTGTGTTGGGGAATAACTAACACTAGCTTAAGACAAAAGAAATTTATTTTAAAAGATACGAAGATGCCTCATGCTGCCCAAGAAGGCCAGGCCTCAGAAGATGTTGGAGCCAGGACCCGAGGCTTCACCAGGAACCCCATGTCAGTCTGTCTCTCCCTCTCTCTAAATGACATTTCTGAACCTTCAGAACCCCTCAGAAATATATCCATCCCACACCTCAAGAATTTACATGTTAAAGTTTTAAACACAAACACATCCTAATCCTCATTCCAAATGCCCAGAGACTAATGGGCCCAGCTTGGGTTTTCTGTCAGCCAGGGCGCAGGACAGGAAGCAGGCACCTTGAGGTCCTTTAAGCAGAAAGTGATTAATACAGGGGCCGAGTACTCAAAAAAAGCTCTGGATGGACTGAAAAAGGTGGTTTTAGGCTGCGTGTCTAACATCTAGTATTCCTCACTAGAGGAGATTCTACTGTGAGGATCCTCTGCAGAGCTTTTCAAATAAAAGCCTCTGCAGCTTTCAATGAACCTAAGAGGTCTCTGATTGTCCAAACCTCTTTCAGTCAACATCTGACGGCCGGAGAATGGACACGAACTCTGTTGTAGAAACGCCAAAATAGGAAGTGATGCTGGGCTTTGATCACTTCTTCCATGTATCAAGGGGGTCGAAACAGTGGAACTTAATTCACAAAGAAACTAGTGGTAAGGGAGTCTGGGCAATGGAGGGCAGGGGTCTTCAAACTTTTTAAACAGGGGGCCAGTTCACTGTCCGTCAGACCGTTGGAGGGCCGGACTATAGTTTAAAAAAAAACCATGAACAAATTCCTAGGTACACTGCACATATCTTATTTTGAAGTAAAAAAATAAAACGGGAACAAATATAATATTTGTATTTGCATGTGGCCCGCAGGCCGTAGTTTGAGGACCCCTGATGTAGGGTTTTTATTGGCATTCCCATCTTCGATTAGAACAGGATGGAATGAAGGTTGAGAATCAATTCATAGTATCCACCTCAGATTATGTGTCTGCCCATGGCTGACTCAGCTGTGGCTGGGGAGTCAGAGACACATTAGGGCTCACCCTTTGGGTGAGAAGGATGGTTTATCAGCTGGGCAGATAATCTGACTGGAATTCCGCATTCACCTGAGATCCTTTCACAAATGTTCATGAAGGCCCAACCATGTGCATTATTTGATAACTACTACCTCTGACTTGGAAATTAGTTCAGAAGCTGGAGTGGAGACTAGAGAGCAGAATTTTCATATTTATTATTCCATGAATGTCAGTTTTTTGTTTTGCCATGGAAACATTATCACCTCAATGTTTTGCCTTCAAATAGGTTTATGACTAACAGTATCTTCTCCCTCTGCCCCATAGCTGCTCACATCGGTGTTGGAATAAGTGGACAAGAAGGCATGCAAGCTGTCATGTCCAGTGACTATTCCTTTGCTCAGTTCAGATACCTGCAGAGACTGCTATTGGTGCATGGCCGGTGGTCTTACATCAGGATGTGCAAGTTCCTACGATACTTCTTTTATAAAAACTTTGCATTTACTCTGGTTCATTTCTGGTACTCCTTCTTCAACGGGTACTCTGCACAGGTAATATCATTATTATTTATATGATTGGCAGTTTTTGGTGTTCTGTCTCTTAATAGCTGAGGCACAGATTAAGATATGGATTACTTTTCTAAAGTGTTTCTGGTGCTTTAACAATGTCTTATTTTGCCTTTAAAGGGGCAGAATTTGTTCCTGGTCTGTTGGCTTTTATTTCTGTCAGTCAGGGTGCAGGACAGGAAAGAGACCCTTTGAGGTCCTTTAAGCAGGAAGTGCTTAAGGGGACAGGGACTATGCCTTCACCCTAAATGTTTTTCTAAGTTACCTTGCCATTAAAGAACTGTGATAACAATTTGTTCAACTTTGCAAGTATAAAATTATATCATGACCAAGGCTAAAGGCATTATGCAAATTTTAGATGACCATAGATCTATTATGTCTCCATTTGTTTGGAGTTTTAGTTTTTGCTGTAACAGGAATGGTGGGCATATGTAATATGTCAAAATAGTGATACAGCAGTTAACACATTAAGTGCCCAGTCACTGGTGACTGACACTATACTTTCGGTCCAGAAGACAAAACAGGCGGGCGCTTAACGTGTTAAATATCATTAGTGAAAAATGAACCTAAGCCAGGGTCTCTGATTGTCCAAACCTCTTTGATGCTATGTCGCAGACAAATGGTTATCAGAGCAGCCTCAGGAACCCGGGCCAGGAGCGACCTTGAGCAGGCTGGGGCCTTCTTCCTGTTTCCATGCAGGACTGTATATTCAACTGCTGGTGCTGAGTAAACCCGTTTCCTCTGTCCCACCCTGAGGATGGGTGTGTGCCCAGCCCTACTTATCCCTTTCAGAAGCATAGTTCTTATATTCAGCCGAATTCTGTTTTAGAAAGTGTTTGCAAGGCAATACTGGACTTGCAAGATAAGAGTAAAGAAGATTTGTATGGTGTTTATGTGCTTTTGAACGGTTTTATGTATTCTCATTCATTAAGGGACATAAAAAGAATTCAAACACTGACTTGGTTTCCAACTTTATTAAAATAGAATAGACTCCTTTCCCAAAATTTGTTGGGATACATCCCCCCACTTATTTAGGGGGAAGTTAGTTTCTGTGGAATGGTTTTTTATTCTGCCCATTACATAGAAACAGACTTATGCCATCTGCAGGTGTAGATGTAGGGCAGAAGTCCCCCTCAACCTGGGGATATCCCTGCTTTGACAGAGCAGATGAATGCATGTTGACTAGGCTGCCAGTGTTTCCTGGTTGGTAACACACTCTGTAATCTCCTCCCAGACTGCGTATGAAGACTGGTTCATCACCCTCTACAACGTGCTGTACTCCAGCCTGCCCGTGCTCCTCATGGGGCTGCTCGACCAGGTAGGGGCCTCATGCTGACAGGGACACTCTGTACGCCTCTTAAAGAAGGTCAATGCAAATATTTTTTTAAATATATTTTTATTGATTTCAGAGAGGAAGGGTGGGAGAGAAAGATAGAAACATCAATGATGAGAGAGAATCAAAGCAAATATTTTGGTGCATTCTTTTGGTTTTCACTTGGTTCTGAGTAAACCCTATTATAGTTCTGGTGTCCAGCAACAAGAGTAACTGCTGTGCTTCTTGCTGAGTGGTAAGAAAAGAGAAGTTTTGTGCCTGGGTTGAATCACTGACTGGAGTTGATAATCTTCCTTTGGACACTAAGACTTTCTTGATAAGACACTTGACAGTATACTATTAGTATATCTCTATAATAACCTATTCATTTTAAAATAAATTATTTTAAAACTTTCTAAATCTTATGTGTTTAATTCCCAGATTACTACATTGTACATTTTATCTAGTAGTAATTCTTAGAGAAAGTACTTTAGTGAATAAAAAGAATAATTGGGAATGAGCTCATCAACTTTTATTTGAAAATACTTTCCCAAATAATTAGAAACAATATATTCTCTGAGGAGGTAAAAATAGCCTCCTTACATTTTTTGACATTACTGATTTGTTTTCTTTCCATAAATAGCAAATTAATATACTTCCTTAGACTAATGTAATGATGTTGATCTCTGTACAGTGAAACTATTCATGACTTATCTTGTTTAGTTTTTGCCTTCATAAAACCTAAGTTGGTTAGAGTGTTGTCCCCATATGCCAAGGTTATGGGTGGATCTCCAGTCACAGGGCACATATAAGAAGCAACCAATGAATGCATAGATTAGTGAAACAAATCGATGTTTCTTTCTCTCTCCCCCGCTTCCTCTCTCTAATTCAATTAAATAAATGAATAAATAAATAAATAAATACCTTGTGACATGTAAGCATGTAAGTTTTCTCTGAGCTCTTTGATTCTTGATGGACAGTACACAACTCCTCTTGTATTTCCCCCTTAAGGATGTGAGTGACAAACTGAGTCTCCGATTCCCTGGATTATATGTAGTGGGACAAAGAGATTTGTTATTCAACTATAAGAGGTTCTTCGTAAGCTTATTGCATGGGGTTTTAACATCGATGATCCTCTTCTTCATACCTCTGGGAGCTTACCTACAAACCGTGGGACAGGATGGAGAGGCGCCTTCCGATTACCAATCTTTTGCTGTCACAATTGCCTCCGCTCTTGTGATAACAGTCAATTTCCAGGTATGTGGTTTTAGTCACCTGTTTTCAGTATCTGTTGGTACCTGTGTTTCTACAGACCAGTGTGCACGTCCAGCTAGCTCCCACTCTCCCTCCAACTGAGCCTCTGCCATTTTACACAATATGAATGCTGTTTTCACTCCTGATAACCAAACACGTTTCCTACTTCTTGCTTGAGCCAAGGATAGTTTAATTGGTCAGTATTCCAGTCAAATCATGCCTAAGTTGCTGAATTTGTTTTTCAGAATCCTTAGATCCTTTATTTTTGTTAACTCCGCAAAGTGAATGCTCTGTTTTTCTCTGGTTTCCCAACAGATTGGCTTGGATACTTCTTACTGGACTTTTGTGAATGCTTTTTCAATTTTTGGAAGCATTGCACTTTATTTTGGCATCATGTTTGACTTACATAGTGCTGGCATACATGTTCTCTTTCCGTCTGCATTTAAATTTACAGGTTGGTATTTTCTTTCTAAATTCCAAAATTAAATGTACAGAAAAATATCAAATTGTAAGTTATTACTAGGGAAAAATTAATGTCCTGAGAAGAAATTGAATGGTGATAGTTTGGAAGGGTGGTAATGTGATGTGAGGAAAGCAAATTAAAATAAACTTAAGATATAATTGTGTATCTGCTAAGTTAGATAAAAGCTTCCCGCCCCCAGTAAAACCTATATTGGTAGCTTATTGGGGAACAGAATACATGTATTGCTGGTAGCACAATAATACAGTTTAATTATTCCAAAACACTATCTGGGGGAAAAATGAACTGTTCAATTTTTTGTACACTTTGACAAGTATTTCCACTTGGGAAAAATACTCTAAGGTAAAACACATCAAATTTTGGAAAGGTAATCTGTACAAACATTGTATCACAACATTTCTAATTATGTTTTGAAAATGAAAATAACCCAAAGACCTAAGAATATAAAATCAGCTAATTCAAGTACAAATCCCATATGATAGAATTCCAGAACTCAAAAGTGGGCTACATTGCCCAGTTGGTATAGCTCAGTGGTTGAGTGTCGACCTATGAACCAGGAGGTCACAGTTCAACTCTCAGTCAGGGAACATGCCCAGGTTTCAGGCTCAGTCCCTAGTGAGGGGTATGCAGGAGGCAGCCAATTGGTGATTCTCTTTCATAATTGATGTTTCTATCGCTCCCTCTCCTTTCCTCGCTGAAAAAAATTTTTTAAAATTATTTTTTAATATATTTTTATTTATTTCAGAGAGGAATGGAGAGAGAGAGAGAGAGAGAAACATCAATGATGAGAGAGAATCATTGATCGGCTTCCTCCTGCATGTCCCCCACTGGGAATCAAGCCCACAACCCAGGCACGTGCCCTTGATCAGAATCGAACCTGGGACCTTTCTGTCCACAGGCCAACGCTCCATCCACTGAACCAAACTGGCTAAGGCTAAAAAAAAATTTGTTTTAAGTGGGCTACATTGGAGATATGTATTCAGAGCAATAAATAGTTACAGAAAATACAATAGTTTACAACTGTATAAAATATAAGATAAATTGACAAATGCTGGAATAAATTTGAGTTTATAAATATAAATATTATAAAAAAGTATCATGAATTGGAAATTATGAACTTCTTATTTTGAATAGAGTAGCTTGGATTTACAATGGCAAAAAAATCCCCATAAACTCGGTTTCCTGTAAAAGATTAGTTTCTTTTTTTACAACCAGGTTTGGCTTGTAAAAGACGGTTGCTGTGGTAACCCTTTTCTTCTTGGGATTGAGATCATTTTTAAGATTACATTTTTCTTTAGTGACTTGGTCTTAAAATCTTAGTATCTAGTGCCTTAGACTATTCCCATGGGGATTAGTTTTTAAACCCAGACACATTTTTCAGTGTAGAAACCACATTTAAAAAACTATACCTGAAACCTATATAATTTCATTAACTAATGTCACCCCCAATACGTATATTCAATAAAAAACAAATTTTAAAAAAAGACCATTATCTTTAGAAACTTACAGTGTAAGTACAATGTTGTGTGAAAAATTTGGCTCTAGTTTTAAAATTGAGTAGTATCTGTGATGATCTGGTTGTATTATAGAAATGATTTGTTACTTCCTCTGAAATCAACAAGAAGCA